TACTATACCATACTATAATATGGTGTACCCAGTAGACCCACCGAGTTCTACCTATGATTTTCCCTATAGTTATGACTTGGCTCACAGCCTGCATTGTTCCATCTCTTCTTTGACCTGAACCAAATGAATTCAACTTTCACATGCTGGGATTTAACTAAATAAGATGAGAATGAATGAAGCAATACAAATTAGGATAACAGTTGATATTTATATTTTTGAGCATCTCTTGTGTGTTGGGTTATGAAGTAGCAAAAAATTTATGGTTGGCAGTCAAGCACACCATGAGGAACTATATTAAAGGGTCACAGCATCAGGAAGGTTGAGAATCACTGATATAAAAGTGTAAAAAAAAAAGACTTTGATTTTTTTTTCTTGTTGTGGTAAGCTCAACCTTTTCTCAAGATGTGTGTGTGTGTGTATGTGTGTGTGTGTTTGCAAGTCAATATGCATATGAATTGATAGTAATTTAGAATAGATTCTGGTATGACAACATTACTTAGCCTGGGAATAAGATTTGTTGGAAATTAGTCTGTGGGTTGAAACATAGCAGCCCATGTAGTATTAGCAGGGTTCCTCTTGTACTGCAGCAGAATCTAATTTGTTTACTTTTTGTTTTTCAGTGACTAGAGATATCGGTGAGGGAAGACCGGATCTGTGCTGGGTCATTATAGCTGACTGGTGGCCTACTTCTCTGAGTCTTTTTTGATGTTGGAAACTGAAGAAATCAAGCGCCCAATACCAACTGTCAATGAATCTCTGAGGTAACACAGTTATGAGTCTTGCTTCTTGGCACTTTGTTTGCTGTCTTTAGGCAAATGCCTGCAACTGCCAAAGATGTGTCCCTCTTTGGGTCTTCTCTCCGAGGTCTGAGATGCTCTCAGGAAGAGTTGTGCATGTCTACGTCCAACTTCTTCTTCAGTGAGTTCTTTTCCCAGGTGGCTTAGGATAGAGCAGAGGAGCCACATGGGAAATGGTGTGCCCTGACGGTATCCTGCCTTCTTCAGAGTCAGATAGCATTGGGATTTGTTAGTGTTTGAGGTTGGCAGACACTCTTGTCTCTGACCATCGGTGGTGTAGAAGCTGAAGGAAGCTGAGCCCCTACAAGTGCTCAGAGCCAACTCCCTTACAGCTTTACCTATTCATTTATGTTTTATTTTTATCTTTTTCACTTGTTTTGGGACAGCATCTCATGCAGCCTGGGGTGGGTCTGGACTTGCTCTGCTTTGCCTTCTGAGTACAGCGGTAATGGTTAGACTAGAGGAACACACTGGGATGCCAGGCTCTTCTCTGCCTGTTTGCCTGCTCTGTGCCCAGAGTCTGGACCTGCCAGGAGCACAAGAGTCTGACTTTGAGGTCTGCATCTCACTGCTGTGCAAACCCTGGCATTGCCAGGCCCTTCGCAAGTCAAAGGAGAGGGTTGGCATTTTTTCCTAAGGATGCTTCCAGTTCTAAAATTCTTTGATGTGACTGGAGCAGTGAGATCAGAGACAGGAGGAACTCGCAGGCGACAGGAGGCAGGAGCATGAACCTCTGCGGTCTCTTTTCACCTTTGCCTTGGATTTCACTCACCACCCTGTGCCTACCTCACATTCCCACTGACTTTCTGTGTGATCTTAGGCGATGAGGCCTCTAACCTCCCCCATTTCCTTTCCATTTACCAGGAGAGGCAACAACTTCTGTAGAGTTATTTCATCTGAAGGATTAAATCTTTATACTTTTGAAGCTTCTGGCATCGGGTTGGCTCCTACAGGTTCTCAATAAATATGAATATTGTCCCCTTTTGCTCTTGTCTTCCCAAATTGTTAAAGCCATCAAGAAGCTATGTCTTTCCCTGTAGAACCTGCTCTGGTCTCGGTGTTCTGATCAGAGGCTAGAGTCAAGGCCAAAGGCAGCTTTCATGATATCACCAGTATTCTACTTAGAGCAGGAAAATGCCAAAATGGAGATTTTTTTTTCTTCCTACCCCTCAAGCTGAGTAGGTGACAACAAGGAGGATGGGTAGCCTCCGACTCTGGAAGCCATGTCCTTCTTTCTCACCAGCATCTCGACACACACACACCTCTGTGTCTGGCATGTTCAACTATGTTCATAGCAGCATTATTTGTAATAGCCAGAATCTGGAAACAACCTAGATGCTCTCAAATCTCTCTAAACCTTTCCCTTGTTGGTGAAATGTCTTCCAAATTTCAATTCTGCTTTGGGGTTCACATATATATTTTGATGTCTCTCTATTTGTTTTTCTCCTGTATTACCATGCCAAGACTATGATGGCTGGGAGCTTGTTTTCACCACCTCCCTGAATGCAGCAAGCATCCCCTCTGGGGCAGTGCCTGTAGTTAAGAAATAATTGCTTACTTGTCGTTGGCTGCCCGGGTAGCACCTGCTCTTCTCACGCCGCACTCACCACCAGTCTAACGTCTAATTGTATCATCAGACACTCTGCCTCTGCCTCTTTTCATCAGAGGGCTCATAATGAGCTTTTAAACTTTGGCCTTTAGAGAAATAGATTTTTCTCTTCTTTTTAGCCTGTAAAAATGAACCATGTTTTCATCGTCATCATCTCCGGACGACTTTATAAGATTTCAAAGAGTTAGCCTTGATGTCTCTCCTAAGGCTTCAAAAGATGCTTAAGACAGGGGCTTCCCAATAACGATGTCTTTATTTTACAAATAGATGTCCGAAACTCTTGATCCTTTCCATATTCCATGTGTTGCTGTAAGTGAAGAATTCTCCCAAATTAAAAACAGTTCCACGAAGTCAGTTTCCATCTGACATATCCACTCTAATCAGATGCAAGCTCCTGCCTTCGATTTTACATTCCTTTAAAGCTAAAGGATACAAAAACATGTCAAAACGCCCTTGTTTCTGAACCACCAGCTGTTTTGTAATATGGTCTTATTCAGCGATTGGCTGCTAGCGGAGGGCACTTGTTTCTGGGCTGCCTTGTGGCCTCTTTAAAGCACACTGAGGCATCTCCAAGCTGGCTTTGTCAAACGCCAAGGACATTTTTTCGGCAGAGACTCTGAGCTAGTTGCCACATAAACAAACAGGAGCTCGCTTTAGCTTCGCTTCCGGGCATTTTTGGACCGACAGAAAGTGCTAAGGGGAAGACAGAAGCCAACAGGGTAGCCTGGGGCGACTGGAAGCTCGGGAGGAAGCAATGGATTGCTGGCATCGGCTCCCTGCTCAGGGTGAGGCTGTGAAAGTTCCAGTCGTGAATAAACGTCTGGAAAAGCTCTTCGCTGGACATTTTGCCCTTGGCCCCAAAGACTGGATGATGTCGGGCTGAAGAGAATCTACCATGGATTCCTTGCTTCTGTGAGTAGTGGTTACTTCTGACGATACAGTGAAATCACCCACATGCCTGGTCAAAAGGGCCTGTGTCAAATGCCACCTAGGCTGTGTTGGAGCCAGCTCTTGGGGGTGAATCTCATGGGTGTGAAGTTTTGAGAGTGGTCCCAAGAGAATGTCAATGTAGTTTCTATTTCTGTCTGGCCAGGAGTTTCTTACATATTGTCAGAATGGGAGATCACCTATTGCTTCCAGTGAAAGCTCGGGTTCCTTCCTGAATAATATGAGCTTCTGCTTCTGCTTCTGCTTCTGCTCCTCCTCCTCCTCCTTCTCCTCCTCCTTCTTCTCTTCCTCCTCTCCCTCCTCCTCTTCTTGCTCCTTGCTCCTCCTTCTCCTTTTTCTTCCTTCTATAGATGCCTTATTTATTTATCGATTGATGGATTGATTGGTACATTTTATCTGTTCATGACTGCACTTTTCCCCCTAACTTTCATCCTTCATAGTAGATAGCTCAGGAGTTAGAAAGAATATACTCTGAGTACATGTATTCATGCATACAGAGCATACATATCTAAAGTTTAACGTGCACAAATATATCTCATATTTAAAAATAAGCTTATAATAACAAGGGTCTAGCCTGACTTTGATAAACATTTTTTTTTCCCTCTCTGTGTACTCCAGCGCTTAGTACTTGCAATATATTGGGTTTCATCTTTAAAGCTAGGGTGGATTTAACTTTTGTCTAGTCATAATTCTATAATATAATATGATTTGGACTAAGAATCATTATTTATTTTTTAGTTATTGTGTAGGGAGCATGCACTTGCTATGGCACACATGTGGAGGTCAGATGATAACTTGCAGGGGTCAGTTCTCTCATTCTTTCGTTTAGGTTCCAGGGATCAAACTCAGGTCATCAGGCTTGGCAGCAACTGAGCCATCTTGTTGGCCCATTGACTAAATCTTACAGCCTCCACAAAACCACAGGTTTTTACCTTGTGGAATGAGTGTCAGGGCTTGAGATTGTTTGGAAGGTTATCAATGACCACAGTGGTGAGAGCTCTGGTAACATCGTCTATAGCAAGACTCACAGAAGGGTTAATTTCGTATCTTCATGTTAGATTTAACTGCTTCCCTAGGTTTTAGCATTAAGAGCTTAAAATAAGATCAACATCTATCCTTAACCTACCCACGCTGTTGCCCTAGTCTACACAAAAACTGTCTGAAAAGACTAATTATTAAATTTGTCATCTACAAACAAAAGCTGCTAGGCAAAGCTAAGGCCACTCCCCAACATGCTTTCTCTGAGACACCAGTGTTCAGAATGGGCCTTAGTGGGGAAAGTTCTGGGGTTGAGTAAGTTCAACCCCTCTCACAGTGGCTCACGCATCTCTGTTCAAAGTTTCACATCGTCAGTTAATAAACTTTATTTAGCATAATGTTTCACAGAGTTTGCTAACTATTTGACTACACCTATGTGACCAAGGAACTGTAGTACCAGTTTCAAGGAACATATGGGGAAGTATTATTTACTTTCTAGGATCTTGGAGTAGTTTCTGTGATTGATTTAATAGTATCTACCCAAATTCTCCTAGCCATGCTGATGTAAATCAGGTCGACACCACCTTTAAAAAAAAATTTTGTTTATTTATTATGTATACAGTGTTCTGTTTGCATGTGTGCCTACAGACCAGAAGAGGGCACCAGATCTCATTACAGATGGTTGTAAGCCACCACCATGTGGTTGCTGGGAACTGAACTCAGGACCTCTGGAAGAACAATCAGTGCTCTTAACCTCTGAGCCATCTCTCCAGCCCTCGACACCATCTTTTCCATGTTTCCTCAACCACCACAAAGTTTAGGAACACCTGACTGACTGTGAGTTAATTGGAGGACTACAGAGAATTCAAGGGAGGTATGGAGAGTTTGCTAGGCAATGCAATAGAAGACGAGAGGGGGGAACTCTGTGGTCCATCATAGTAGAGAAGACAGGAAGAACAGACTCAGGAAAACCACAGGGAAGGGTAACATTTGTCTCTCTTCTTAGTTAACGTGGTCTTTGCTCCAGCATTCCTATAGAATGCTTATTTCTAGGGTCTTAGTCTTCCTCCTCTTGGTGGTCCATTCTGCAAGGATAATAGCGAGGGGGTCTAGGAGAAATGGAAGAGATCCCAAAGTCTAGATATGGTAAGCAGCTCACATATGATATCAGCTCTGCCTAAGAGTGAGTGAGGGTATTGGATTGTATCCTAAATCAACAGATAATGGGCTAGTTAACTTCTGATGATGACTGTCACATAGAAAACACATTGTCACGTGAGCAAAGCTTTGCCATTTTGGACACACACAAGTAACTCTTTGCAAGCAGGTGAACTATCTTGTGCCAGAGCTCATCAAGAGACGGGTTCCTTCCTCCTTCATTACTTTCTTGTCTGTTTGTTTTTGGAAACAGTGTATCTCTGTATAGCCTTGGCTATCCTAGAACTAGCTCTGTAGACCAGGTTGGCCTTGAATTCACAGAAGTCCTCCTGCCTCTGTCTCCCAAGTGCTGGGATTAAAGGCGTGGCCCACCACCACCTAGTCCTCCTTTCTTATTTATTGGGCATGGATAACGTGATTGATATTAAAAAGGTACACGATTGATCTGTGTCCTTGATGTTGTCTCAAGCCAATTGAGTTGGGCAATAATTTACTAAATCTGATTACATGTTGAAAACTAAATAAAGAAAAAAACAGACATGGTGCTTGTGATATAGAACAATGGCCAAGGCTTTCTTTACCTAATATGTGGTAAGTTGCTAACATGTGTTTTCTCTTTGGTAAGTTAATGGCTCTTGTGGCCACATTTTATATCAATATGTAGCTGCAGTTCATTAATGTTACTGATAACACCCATTTTGTGTCGTCCATAGCCCTGTCAGTTTGCCTTCCACGGAGCTGTGTAAGAAGCGTAAACATTTCTCACAGGCAGAGACCCTAACAAGGTGATACACATTTACAATCTCAACACCTGATAAGTGGGGGCAAGAGAAGGGCTACAAGTTCAAGGCCACTTTGACCTACAAGGTGAGAACCAGTCCAACCAGAGCTAAATAGAAAGACTCTGTTCCCTGGCCCCATAATAATAGCAAATGAAAAAAATAAAAATTAAAAAGTTAATCAGGATGAATATTATTTCTTTTAATCATTTGGGCAATGTGGAAGCAGACAGAGAAAAAAGCGAGAGTCTGCTTTCTGTGGGATTAGCTTTCTAGTCCTGCTCTGGTCTTCAGAGTCAGCCATGTTGAAATGATTTCTGTGGATTTTCCTTATAGCCATAGATTGTAGTCAATTAACATCTCTCTGTTAAGGAGCACATCATAAACGATGTATTTAGAGCTATAGGAAGAACTCATTCTATCCACATCAAAACGACCCTATCATTGCTGAAAACACCATCACTACTAAGTCTTTGCTGCTGTTTGCTTCATTTATTTGAGGCAGAATCTCATGCAGCCCTGCCTAGCCTTGGATTTTCTGTGGAGCCAGGATGATCATGGGCTCCTGATCTCCCTCCCTCCACCTCCTAAGCACTGAGATTACAGGCACTTGTCTCACGACCAGTGAACCAACCTGCCTTTAGGAGTGAGCCTTTGACAGTTTTACCAAAATTCCTCAAAGCAAGTGAGAAATGTGCGTGACATGACAGCCACAGGCTCAGAGGAGAAAAAGGTCGATAGTGAGGAAGGGGCATCTCGAGGGCATTTTATCATGTGTGACAAAAGCCCTGTTAAGAATTTGCCATTAGTTCACCTACTCTTTGCAATATTTAGTTAGGGTGGTTACTCGAACAAGCGGGCCACTCATGGTCAAAGGGACTGAGTCACTGGTCCAGTCTTGGACAGGTTGTAAATGTCAGAACGGAGAGTCAGGTCCAGGTGTGAAGATTCCTATGACATGCAGCTTCCAAATCCCTGGAAGTCTGTTTAACAGGGACAATTAGTCAGCCTCTGAGATGGCCTGGGACCTGCTCCCACACCCTGCTGGGTAAATACGAAGAAAACCAGGCTCCAAAGGTCTAGGCATTCTGGTTCCGCTCCATCTCCGTCATACTCCAGAATGTCTGTGCCAGGCAAGTATAGTATAGACCATTGCTGCTCCACTTCTGAGTCTTGCCGCTGTAACAAACACACCTAGAAAGCAACTTAAGGGTGTAAGGGTTTATGTTAGCTCATGGTCTTAGTCCACTATGGTGGGATGGGATAAAGAAGTTTATGTAGTGGGGGTTTGTGGGCAGGACATGTCACTGGAGCCGACAGAAAGTGGAGAGCAACGCAGGCAGGAACCAGAAGTGGGTATAACCTTAATAGGGTCACCCCTAGTGACTAACTTCTACCAGCCGGGCTATAATAACACCAGAAGCAGATTAGGGTTTCAAAACATGAGCATTTAGGGACCGCTCCGATTCACACCATAACAGGCATATGGGGTTTAGTTTATTCCATTACTGGTCAGTGCAAATGCCCCGCTGGAAGTTCTGGTTCCCATCCCCCTCACCTCCCATTCTACCGCCTCCTCCCTGCAATGCCCCTTGTGGAGAAGACCTCTTGGAGTCTGACAACCAGAAGGTTCTCTTTCCTTCCTTTGGCTCCCAGCTGGCTTTGCCCACTGCCTTGAGAGAAGGTCAGGGCGTTTAGCTCCCCAGTTGACTTCCTGTCACTGCTATTTCTCCGTGGTCAGAGTCCGGAATCCAAACTCCAGCTCCTGCTATGCTAGTTGGCTTTCTTCCACATTCTTAGCCCTCCCTGAATTCTCCCCGGCGCATTGAGGACTCGGGGCAGCAACAGAGCTCTATTCTTATTAGCTCAGGTGCATTGCCCTTTCTCGGCTCACCGCGGCCTTGCCTCCCCTCATGTAAGTGCCCTTTCAGTTAAGATGCCTTTAATTGCACCTACTCACCGCGGCATCGGTTTGCTCCTGGGGACACGATTGATCTAGTAAGTGAAACCAGGTTTTGTTCCAGAAAGCAGATCCTCAAAATGAGATTCTGGAATTACATTGCTCGTGTATTTGATGAAGGCATAGATACTCTCTTTGCCAGGGCGAAATGGATAATGGGGGTAGGCAGGGAAATAACATTACTCAAATTATCAGCAGCTGCTGCAAGGGATGGAGTGCAGATGGCAGGAAGGCATCGGGAGATCACATTTTTTAGCTGTATTGTTGGGTGACTTGGATTACACGGCTCGCGCTCTGGGCCACAGCTCATGGAATCTTAGAGAGCACAAATGGGGAAAAGGACAAATGACTCTCGGATGAGCAGCCTAGGGCAAAGGGGAGAAACTGGTTGGCCTCCGTGGAAATACTTTAAGACTCTCTTCCCTTTGATAGCTTTGGGACAAATCTGTGTATCTGAAGGTATCTTTAAATGAATGTCTCCTCTGCAATTATGGGTCAGATATGACGGCAGATCAGTTCCACTGCTGAGGTGACATGCTGCTGAATAATTGACCTCCTCCCAATAAGAAGGCAGCAGCCATTTTCCCTCTCAGATTATTGGCTATGTATTCTAAATGGGTCCTTTCCTTCAAACGTATTATTTCTTATTAACTTATCGTATTTAACTTATTAAATGGCGAGTAGTGTGACTACAGGTTCATACCCACCGATTTCACGGTCCCTTTGCTCATGGAAACTGGCTCAGTTTCAGTTAAAGAGATAGCATGAGCAGAGAGGCTGGGAGACGTGCTTCAGATCGGAGGTAAAATGAACGTAGGATCTCACCGGCTGCCGGAATTCATGGGTCAAGAACTTAGGATGTGTGGGTAGAATGACCCTCACTGACATCTCTAACAATGCATTTAGACTTCTGTCTCTACAACCTTGGGCCTGACCAATGGGAAAAGAATTCCAGTAAGGAGTGAAAGCTGTGTGCTCTAGTTTGTTTGCTCTTGCTATGATAAGCACAGAAAGGCTCTTGGGAGAAAAGCGCTTACTTGACTTACACTTCCCGATCTCAGCTCATCACTAAGGGAAGTTAGGGCAGGGACTAACGCACAGCAGGAATCTGTCAGCAGAAACTGAATCTGAAGACCTCAGAGATGTGCTGCTTACTGGTCAGCTCTCCATGGCTGACTCAGTTCGCTTTTTTATACAACGCAGGACCACTTGCCCAGGGATGATACCACCCACAGTGGGCTGGGCCTGTCAGCATCATGAAAATTCCTCATAGACTTGTCCGTGGGCAAGCTGCTGGAGACATTTTCTTAACTGATGTTCCCTCTTCCCAGATGATATTAGCTTGTGACAAAACTACCGAAAAACTAATCAGCACCTTGTAGATCCATTGGGAATCAGAACTTGGGACAGACCAGCTCCTCAACAAGCAAAAATGAGGGCACTGTATTGGCTGGAGTTACTGAACTTGCTTCAGAAGGAGACTGTGGGTTTCTGCCACTACTAAGGCAGCAAGGACAGGTCTGAATTTACTGACACTTTTCTTAGTAATGTGATAATCTATGAAAAGAATGCAGCATCTCAGTAAATGGATGACCACTTTAGGCCTGGGTTTCATCTAGCAGAAATCGAGTCAAGTGTTTTAGTAACGACTTCATCTAGCCAGCACGCTTGCAGAGAATGAAGGAACAAGGGATGTTGGGAGTCACTTGCATTCCTCCAAGGAGAATATGTGCATGGAAGGGGACAAGATGCTGATAGTGCTGGATATTTGCTCTCTACCTTTAGTTCTGTTTTCTGTCCTTGAGCATCTGACTCTGCAAGGAGAAGCTGATTACCAGGGACGACAGACTCCCATGCCCCATGACTTCAGCTGGAAAGACAACGGAGGATCCGAGTACTAAGAGAAAGGACAGGCTATGCATCCCTTGCTCCCTCCTGCATGGCCATGCCGTGGTACCAATTGTTTTTCTCTCCATATAGCCAGGGTTCTTGCTGAACAGCCCTGTCCTGCAGCTGCAGCTCTCTGGGTCTAAACAGGCTATCTTTCTCCTCATGCCTTCAAGAGTTGTGAAGTGTATCCCATGTCCAGTCTCTGGAGTTGTCAAATCATTTTGGCTGCCTCTTAAGACAGCCGTTTTGCAAAGCTCTATTCAACAAGCCACTTGCATGAGCCGTTCCTTTCTTATGAGTCTTTTGGCTAGGACTGCACTCATTCTCCTTCATATAAGGTAGGGAGACCCTCCTTTCCCCCCTCGTCAAGCCACATCCTCCTGCATCAGGAACTGCAGCTCAAAATCTACACCGAGATTTCATCTCACTCCAGAATAACTTTTATTTAAAAAACATGATTTACACTTCAGTAAAAATACAGGATAAAAAAATCCCATGAGAAAAATCGGTAGCTTTCATATATACAAACAATGAATTTGTAGAGAAAGAAAGATATGAGGAAAAATATCTTATTCATAGTTGCTTGAAAAGTATGTAGGAATAAACTTAACCAAGGCAGTAAAAGACTTCTACAGTGAGAACTTCAAGATACTGAAAAAGGAAGTCAAATATGATCCTTGAGTATATAAAGACTCTTTGTGTTCCTGGACTTTGGCATTAATATGGTGATAGTGGCTACATTATCAAAAGTGAGATACAAATTCAGTATAATTCCTGTCAAAAAATTTCAATGTCATTCTTTACAAAATTAGGGAAAAAAATTCAAGCATTTATATGGAGGCACAAACAACAACAGATAGGAAAAGCAATGTTAGAGAGGAAGAACACAGCTGGAAGAACCACAGTACAGGACCTCAGATCACACTACGGACCTATGGTGACAAAGACAGTATGGTACTGACATTAAAACAATGAGCTCAAAGAAACAGAACGTAGCACCTGGAAATAAACCTGCACAAATATAGCCAATGAATTTTTCTTTTGCCTTCAAAAGTGAAGTTTCTAAAAGAAAGGAAGATTAGCCTATTTTAACAAGTGATGTTGATTGAAAAAAAGTGATATCTACCCAGAGAATGGTGAAATTAGATCCACATTTTCACCTGGAAGAAAAGTGGATCAAAGACCTTATTTTAAAACCTCAAACACTGAATCTTGATGGAGAAGGCACAAGGAATGCACTTCCAGGTGGAGGTTGAAGAATGTCTGAAAAGATGTCCAGCAGCACAGGAGCTCTCTCCGGGATCGACAAACAGGCTTTCATGAGACCAGTGTTTCTGTACAGCAAAGGAAGCAAGCCGCGATGCAAACAGCCCACAGAATAGAAGAAAATCCTTCCTAGTTGCCAGTTATACCAGGGAAGGGGTCAATACCCAGAATTTACAAAGAATTACTTAAATTAAACATCATGAAACACAACTGCTGACTAAAATTTAGGCAGAGTGAAATGGACAGACAGCGCTCAAGAGAAGAATCACAAATGGCCGAGTACTTTCAAGAGTGTTCGACATCCTTGTCAGAAGAGTACTGCCAATGAAGGCTACTTTAAGTTCTCTACCCCCTCATCCCAGGATGGAATCATCAAGACACCTGACATCAAATGCTGGTCTGGTGTGGGGAAAGCAAAACCGTTATTCATTGCTGGTGGGAGTGCCAACTAGAGCAGCCATTGTGGACGTTAGTATGGAGGTTTCTTAAGATAGTAAAAGCAGAACTTCCATATGACCCAGCTGTATTACACCTGGGCATACACCCCAGGAGCCCCATGTTCTACCACAGAGATACTCACAGATTCGTGTTAATTGCTTCCGGGTCTGTGAGAGCCAAGAAATGGAATCATCCCATATGACCTCAACAGATGGACAGGTGGTGAAAATGTAGTATTTATACACCTGATGGAATTTGATTAAACTATAAAGCAACATGAAATTATGTATTTTTCAGGCAAACGGGTGGATCTGGAAGGTAGAATATTAAGTGAGGAGATTCAGACTCCGGAAGGATAAAGCCACGTTCTACTCACATGTGAATTTCAGCCTATAATGCACACATGTGTATTTAGAAGTGGATCTAAATGCAAGTAAAGCTTAAAGAACTAGAAAGAAGTTCACGGAAGGGTAAACATGGGTGCTGAGGGAGGACAAGGGGTGGGTAGGAGGACACATGACATAAAAGAGGAAGAGAGACTGGGGCAGTGCTTGCCTGGGATGTGAGAGGAGAGCAGCGGGAGAGAAGCGGGGGAGGAGAGTCTACTAAGAGAGTCTTCGAAAATTCCACAGTGATATATAATAGCTTGCATGCTAACTAAAAACATTAAATGCTGAACGAAAAACTGAATTGAGGAGATGGCTCAGTTACTAAAGCACTTGCTGCATAGGCACGAGGACAGAGTTCAGAACCTCAGCAACCATATAAAGAGCTGGGGGTTATGATGCACACCTGCAATCCTGGCACTGGGAAGGTAGCCATAGGGATATCCCAGAGCTTCCTGGCCAGCTGCTAAGCTGAACTGTTGAACTTTCAATTCAGTAAGAGACCTTGTCTCAAACAAACAAACAAAAACCGTAGAACTGAAGATATCTGACATCAGCTTCTAGCTCTGCACTCATGTGTGCCCACATACACACATATACACATGGATATGTGCACAGATACATGCATGCACACATGCGCACATATACACATGCAACCTCTAACGTCTAATAGCATAAAGAGCAACAAAGACCAGCAAATGCTGATGAGGGTGTGGGAGAGAGGCAATGTGCGCTACTACAGTCAGACAGGAATCAGTAAGGACTTTCTCAAAATACTAAAATCAACTAAAAATGGAACTACCATGTGATCCAGCTATACCATTTCTGGGAACGCATCTGAAAGAATCCAAGTCAGCTCTCTACAGAGACACCTACTCATCTGTGTGTTTTGAAGCAATATTTGTAATAATCAAATTACACAACCAGCCTAGGTATCCATCAACAGATGGATGGAGAAAGAAACTATATAAACAAGAGAGCTTTGTGCACAGGTAAAGAAGGATAAAATGACGTAATCTGTAGTGAGATGGATAAAGTGGATATCATCATATTAAATTAAATAGACCAGACCCAGACATACAAATATGTTTTCTCTCATGTGTAGAATAAATATGTGTGTGTGTGTGTGTGTGTGTGTAAAATAGAGGGGATTATTTGACAAGAGGAAGGAATCTAATTGGAAGGAGATAAGAGATGGTAGTGGAGTTAATATGGTCAAAGAAATGAGATACTATGTTAAAATGTCATAAATCCATCACTTTGCACAATATATGGTTTTTAAAAAGATGTTGGGCATGGTGGTACACACCGCTAATCCCAGCACTCGAGGTAGGCACAGGCGGATCTTTGTGAGTTTTGAGGCAAATCTCACCTACATAGTGAGTTCCAGGCCAATCAGAGCTCTCCAAAACAAAACAAAAGAAAGAAAACAAATAAAATAAACACCCCTCCTACTGAGTTGGCTAGTTTATCCCAGGGCTGGAGGGGAGGCTCATAGGTTAAGAGCACTCGCTGTCATTTCAGATAATCCAGCGTTGGTTTGATTCCCAACATATGGTGACTCCAGACCATCTGTGAACTCCAGTTCCAGGGGATCTGACACCTTCTCTGGGCTCTTTGGTTACCAGGCATACACAGAGCTAAAGAACACCCATTTGTAAAATAAAAATAGATATTTAAGAAGAGAAAAGGAAGGACACTTACCTATAGTTCTGCATGCATGCTGAAAGGACAGATTCAAGACAGATTCTTTTCTTGGGGCTCTGGTTGGTTCCATAACAACTATTATAAGAGCCAATTGACATTTCCTTTTCTGTTAGGTTAAGAAATCTTAGCTTCTATCTGACCCATGGGCCAGTCAGGTTCACTGTTCTGTCTGCTGGCACTGTAAGAAACAAAGTCTATTTAGTCAGTCTTCTAGGGTCCTAAAGACAACAATCCATTACTGGGCCTTGTTTTGCTGATTTCTTCACTCAGGAAATCCTTACCATGCGCTTATTTTGTGTTGGACCTTGTTCTATGACCTGAAATTGCGAAACTGAAAAAGACAGACTATGCTATCGTGAGTTACAGTCTTATCGAACAAGTCCTGACAAAAAGGAGCCGTGTTGGCTCTCCTCACTACAATCTTATGAGTACTGTAGTGGCCCAGAGAACAATTATACAAATAAGGAGATTAGAAAAGCTATATAGCCGGGCAGTGGTGGCGCACGCCTCTAACCCCAGCACTCGGGAGGGGCACCAAAGCTACAGAGAAACCCTGTCTCGAAAAACCAAAAAAAAAAAAAAAAAAAAAAAAACCAAACAAACAAACAAAAAAAACCAGGTAAGTTGCAGTTAGATAGCACGCAGCTGCATCAGTGTGGGTTAATCTCTAAGTGTGTGAACCACTAGCCATTTTTTCCCAAACCGTCCAGCACAAAGCAACAAGCCCTCAGTCAAATTTTATTGTACTTGTCTCCTGTCAAATATCTAAAGGCACCAGAAAGCCAGTGCGATAGCACAGCTCCATACTCTACTCCAGGACCCCTTGCAAACTGCGTCTCTCACCTCCATGCTCTTTAGGGCAGAGTCTACAGACAAGCCTAAGCCGTCTCAGAGACGCTACAGCTGACACCCATTCAGCGGGATTGCTTTCTTCCAAGACTTCCTTCATCAAAGGATTCAGTTCCCCCTTTCCTCTGGCTCAGGCATTTTTCCTTACTAATCTGAGCTTTCTCTCCTCTCCACTTTCTAGATCAACAGTGCTATGACCGTCGATCAACCCCAGCCCACCAGCCGGAGGGAATCTTGTTGACAGACAGGTAGTGTGTCAACAGACTCATATTGTGAAATGGAAATTGGAAGAGCCTAAAACAACAGAGCAGAGGATGGAAACCCAAGCCACTTTTGCCAGATGCAGCCCAGGCCTGGTAGGTCTTTGCTACAGCATTTCCTCTTTTTAAAACAGTTTCAGCCAAGGTCAAAATAAAATAAAAAAAATGTGCACGCTGCCATTCTTTCCCGTCGGGTGGCTGGTCAGCATCTTCGGCTCTTCGTAGTTTGGTTTTGAAAACTCTGACACGGAATGGAATGGCTCAAGGTGGGAAAACCTTGCAGGCAGCTGGACTAAAAATCAGAGGAATGTTTCATGCTGTGTTAAAGGGCTTCTTATTCCCTGGCTGGAGACTGTGAGCACTCAGACCCTGGGAAGGGTCATCTGGAAAAGCTGAGGTGTGGGGCGGATGGGGATTTGCACATTGCAGTGGAAGAACCCATACTTCCCTTATGGGGTTAATTGGATGTGGGTGGCATGTGATTACAAGTGTTCATAAATTGTCTACCCTGATATTGAGTTCAGCCACTGTGTTAGTGTGAGCTGAGCTGAAGCCAGCAGAATGGGCCAGGATATGTTAGAACCATGGCCAAACCGACAATAGGTCTCAACAAGTCAGAAAAATCAGCAAGAGACATATGAACCCAACTACTGGAGTAATAGATCTCTTGTCCCGAGTCTTTGCACCGTGGGGGCTTTCCCCTTTGGGATGGAAAGTGCTAATGGAGAAAGTGACTTCCTTGTGCAGGTGGGAAAGCAGTGTTTGCTCACTTAGACATCCATGCATTCATTGGGCCACTGCTGTGAATGGCTGTCAAGGGTCCTTCATCTCAAACCTGGTTCCCTTTGGGCTGAGTTCCATCAGACTGCCAGAGAGACACTTAGTCTGGCTACTTTCAAGGAACTGATCTTTATCAACTCTGCTTTAATGAGGAAAGAGATGCCTTAGAAGAGAAGATCTGAGCATTCCCCACTAATTAATTATGGATTGGATGCCCACTAAAGCCACAGTAATGGCACTGTAGGTCCACAGTAAACAGTTGTCAGAGGAATGAGTGTGAGCTGGAGAGAGGGACGTGACAAGGAGCAATGTCCAGGAGTTAAAGGTCTCAGTAGGGTGAAGGAAGAAGCTACTGTGTATAGACAACCCCAGGAAGACTGTGCAGTAAGAACTTGCTTGGGTGCTAATGGCTTGGGGAGGAGAGTGGTACGTAGGTGCTCCGTGGTCTCTGTGGAGCTTTATAGGAAACAGACGTAAGGCAACAGGGAAGTGAGCTGCGTTTTCTGTGCTTATATGCATCACTTTATATACTATATAGATTAACCCTCATCTGAAGGGTAGCTGCCATAATAGTCTCTCCTTCTGTTCATTGTCTGTTTGCTCTGTCAATCACTTCTATGGCTATGCAGAACCCTTAGAATATTATGTGATCTTACACATCGATTCTTAGCACTGTTTTGTGTACGACTGGGGTTATGTTCAGAAAGCACATGCCAAAGTATCTCTCCTGTACTGTTTTAACCTAGAATGTTCAAGTTCAAAGTAGGTTTCTCCTTCTCTGTGTAGGGGATTGAACCGGGACTAATGCAATCACTCTACCTCTGAGCTGTGCCATAAATCAGGGCCTCTGATCAGCTTTGAATTGCTGTGTGTGTGTGTGTGTGTGTGTGTGTGTGTGTGTGTGCAAGGTAAGAGGAGTACTTATTCACTGGTGAATGCATACCAGTACTGTCAATGTGGAAATCAGTGCGGCATTTCTCCAGAAATTAAGAATATACCTACCATAAAACCCAGCTACACCATTCCTGGGCATACATACACCCAAAGTGCTCTCTTTTTGTCTCAGAAATATTTTCATGTCCATGATTATTGCTGCTCTCTTCACAGTAGCAAGGAGGTATAATTAGCCTAGATGTCCATCAACAGATGACATTGAATATGTGGTGTATAAATATCTAATGGAATTTCATTAAGCTGTAACAAAAATGAAATTACAAAATTTGAAGAAAAATGGAAAGACCTGAAACTATTATATTAGATGAGGTGATCCTGACTCAGAAAGACATATTGTATGTGCTTTTTCACATGTGTGTGGGTCCTAGTTTTTAGTGTTTCTAAGGATGTCTGTGTAAATGCAGTGGTAAATGTGAGGACAGGTCACGGAACTAGGAGGACCATAGCGAGGGGAGACGAGTGGAGGAAGGTGACGGAGGCAACATGAGACATGAAAAAAGACAGGAGGCTCCCACGATTAGAGGGCCTAAGGGGAGACCAAGGAATGCGGGAGGGAGGAGAATGAATGTAAACAAATTATGTTTGTAGATGCCATAATGACACAGAACACTTGCCTAATTAAAATATACAAAATTTTTGAAGTTTCAAGGAAAAAAGTATGCTGTATTTTCAAGGACCGCAAGGTCCTTGGGATAAGGAGGCAGAGCCAACCTAGTTGCTGAGGCCATCACCGCTTCATGTTCTGAAGAAGAACTGTAGCCTGCAAAGGATTTCTAATGAAAACATCCACCAAAACACTACCAGAGCGGCCAGCCTGCCCTTCTCATGCTGAACTTATGCTTCTCCCCTCAGTTCGTCGAACTCTTATTTCCACAGCATAAAGACTCGCCACTAACTAAAAATACTTACTTTGAGGAACAAATGGCTTTAGATCAGAGGTTATGCTGTGTAAAATGACAAAGAATTCCCCTGAATCCCTAGCATTGACATATAGGATTGTAAGGAAAACGCTATTTAAATATCTATGTGTAAATATAAAATGAGGATGGACTCTTCATACTTATAAATAATATGTACTTGCTCCATTGAATCAAACGTTAAATTAAATTTAGACTCAGAGAATCTGGCATGTCTGTAATTCGATGGTATGTGCCGTGTGGTGACTCAGTTTCCCCGCTGCTCTCCTCCACAATAACTGCCAACAAACCTTCAGTGTGCTGTGATATCAGGGGCTCTGCAGTTGGTGTCAGTTCAACACTTAGAACTCATATCCACATCATGTCCTTTCTCATTGGTTGATGGTACTTAATGTCGTACCTAGTGCCAAACCAATCCCCACTATGGAATGGCTTGATAAGCAAAATTGTTATATTACCTAAATGCTTCAGCTGTAAATGACTGAAAAAAAAATTGAAATCTTTGATGGTGAAAATAAGTATGAAGAAAAATGATGCCTATAGAGTCATCACTGTGGGGGGCTAGGGAGATGGCTCAGCAGTTAAAAGTGTTGTTTCTTTTGCAGAGGACTCAAGTTTGGTTTCCAGCATCCACAAGGTGGCTCACCAGTGTCCTTAGCTCTAGTTCCAGAGGGTCCAGCACCTTCTTCTGGATTCCACAGGCAATGTACATAGATGTGCACATACACATTGAGACAGAAAACTCACACATTTAAGAATAAAGAACAAATTTAGAATTATTGCTGTTATTTGAGCATTAAGGCATCAACGTAGCAATATGAGACTATATCAAAAGTTAGTTGCTATAAGCTCAGGCCATGTCTGAGTTCTCGTGAATATGGCTTAGCCTCAGGTGGTGAACAAGAAACAGCACACAGGTCTCAGATGACTGAGAATGGACTAAGAGCTTTTAATTGTAAGGTTTTTACCTAAGTCATACTTAAGATACAGTAAAGCACAGGGAACAATAAAACAGATACACATTAACCAAATAAGTTTTGGGATTATGGTTTCTTCATTTATTCTTTTAGATATAATTGTAATCTTTTTACTGTCAAAATTTATGCACAGTAAAAAATACTAATACTGTACAACTCTGGGTGTTAATATATATATATATGGATTTATGTAACTACCAGAAGAAAAACAATTTTTATTACCCTTTAAAATTCCTTTGTGCCGGCCTTTTGCAGTCAGGCCTCTACCCATCTCCAATCTTTGTTAAAGCTGGTAACAGAATCGGCTCCTCTCCACAGCATGTGAAGTGTTTCACTGAATACATGGTCTTTCCGGTTGGAGAGACAGCTCAGTTGGTAAAGCACTCATCTTGAAAGCATGAGGACCTAGCAAAGAGAGACTTACCGAAGCCTATGTGAGAAAAGTGAGGTGTGATGATGGCACCTGCTTGTGACCCCAGTGCCAGGGGACAGAGACAGGTGGATGGCTGAGATGCTGGTCAGTACTGTTGCTGAAGCAGTGAATGCCAAGCCCGGGAGAGAACCTTCCCCTATTGTTCTTTGCTGGATTTCTTACCTCATTTCTTAGAAATATAATTAAATATGACATATTTAAACTACAAAGCTTTTTAACATGCTTTTAAAAAACGTTTGCATTGAGATATGAATTATATCAAATGAAGTCAATAGATCACACATGTGTACGGGGCCTGAGGAACAAGTCCCAAGGTTGTACTCTAGCCTCTATATACCCAGTCAGATATGAACACTGTACTCAATCCCACAAGCACTGCATGTTCCGCAAGCACACACACATGCACTGCACATACCACACACACACATGCACTGCACATACCACACACACACATGCACTGCACATACCACACACACACACACACATGCACTGCACATACCACACACACACATACACATACACACACACTCACATGAACTCTATGCTGGGATACAAGATACCTAGTGTTTCACAATTCTACTGAAATTTAGCTTAATATTTTTCATTGAAATGTTAATATTTGAACTCAAAGGCTCCATTCAAGTTACATTCACAAGTATTTTTACATGAAAAAGTCTAAATGTATTGTTTCCAATTAAGATGCTTTTGAGTATTTAATCGAATTTAAATGTAGGCGTGCTAATTTCATTTCACTGTAATACTGAATATAAATATATTTACTTAAAAGAAGGGGTTCCATCCATATATATTTTATGGGTTGAGATATTTCAGGAAGAAATTACAGGATTCTAAAAGCAGAATTTACTCATTGTTTGAGGTCACAATAATAAAATGTGTTAAGCTGTATCCTTTGGAGGAATGATGAATACCTGCTGGCAAGCTTTGCTTTCAATAAACCTTCTAAAAGAACTTCTTGGCTCTCCT